AAAAAAAAAAGGAAAAAAAAAAAACACGAATTGGAAAGACCGCTTTTCACCACATCTCCAAACACCGAGAAGAGAGTTCAAAAATCCGAGGCACAGCGGAGTATTTTTGACGAACCTCGAGGTGTTTGGAAATGTGGTTAAAGAAGTCTGGAGTGTTTGATATATCTTCTTCGAAGTTAAAACTAAGGAGAAAACGGAGAAATAAAATCGTAAGAATCTATGCTAATTAAGATCGGATATCCAAGCACCGTCACGGTCGTGATTTCCTTTGTTTAAAGTTAATGAATTTAATGCATTCGAGAATGCGAGGATCAGTGGATTGTCATTATATATGGTCTTTAGGAACATAAATGAACACAGCACAGCACCTGACTCACCCTAAAACATACGTCTGGTCAGACATCTCGATCACCTTGACCATCAAAATATTAATAGCTCTCAATATCTGTGGCCCATCCTCCAGAGCCGCCAAGCGATCATCTGACAACACCGTTATCAGCACCTGCATCACCTGCTTCAGTGAGCTGCGGGATACGGCGCGAGCGAGCGGAGGGCTGGAGAACACACCCAACATGGTGTCCGTCAGACAGTTGATGAGTCTCAGCACTGTCGCCTCTGGCTGCTGGCCGGATTCAATGTTAGGGATGTGTGTGGTGAGGATCATGTTCAGTTGAAGGGAGACGGCATTCAGAAACTGGTCGATGTGTTTACTGACTTCCTTGTGGTTTTTATTCCGTACTACTTTTTCAAACTGTACTAGGGCCTGGGTACTAGCCGTGACGTCACCGCTGGCTATCTGAGAGATGACGTAGTTGAAAGCCGCGGTCGGGTTTGTCCGGCTGAACACTCCCATATGAGGAGAGGCGGGGTTTCTGAGAAAACAAAATACAAAAAAACATACCAAGGTCATCGAAACTCAAAATGACTTCTCATTAATACACCATAACAAATTCAAATAGAAAGTCACAGGGCATAAAGCACAGATCAGCTCACAAAAAGACATATTTCACTTAATTCTTTTAATGAGAAATAAGACTCTTTCGCTTTGTGAGCCATTTGTTGGGATCGTCAAGAAACGGAAGAAAGACAAGGGCGAGGCAGAAAATTCATGAAAAATAACACAAATTTTGATGCTTTGTGTCCAGATATAACTCAACTTCTCCCAACCAGTTCCATACAAATGTATGAAGAACGGCTGGAGGAAACTGGATGTCGATACTCACTTGGTGTGAGGTTTGTGTACAGGTGCACTGATCAAGTCATCTAAAGCTTCATTAGTCTCCAGTGTCGGTACAGCCACTTCATGATGTAAATCATCTCCTTCAATGCCATCAATATCAAGACTGAACTCCCGCCGGATATTGTCAGACTGTCTTGGTGCGGGTGCTGTGACAGGCCTGTAGACAAAAATATGCTGGAAAGTAAAACTCTGAAGACACATGTTAGAGTATGAAGCGCCTGTACGTTAAGTAGCAGTTGATTGCAGTCTCAGTGCACGTTTCAATTTGCCACAACGTTCCGAAATGTTTCGGTTGGTATTCCAAACTTCACAACAAAAAAAAAGAAAGAAAGAAAAAAAACACGCGAACTGCGTCCTGCAATTTTCACGTAATCTTTACCTTTCTAGCTTCAACAGAATTAGAAGATTTCGACCGTAAAAAGGTGAGTTATATTAAAGTTACCTTGCCATCTGTGCCTTGCCGGGTCTTTTTTCCTCTCTTTTCTTGCCTCCATTGGCTGAAGAGTCACTCCCTCCGCGTGCACTGACGCTGGTCTTTGTTGTGTTTTCATTTGCAGGAGCGGTGTTCGGACGATTCTTTGAAGATCGTTTTATACGTTCCTCTAAATACGCAAGGTCCTTGTCAGACAGCTGTAAAGAGAATGAGAGAACTGACTTACTTATTTCAACTACAGGCAGTCCTCAAAATAATGCGGTGGGAATAATCACATTGAGGTCTGTGCAGAATGATTGAGAATCACAGAAAAATATCCTTATCTGACCTCCCAGTCAGTCAACAAGTCTTTGATCTCACAGCTTTAATATCTTCACCTTTGACTTGCTTTGGGGTAACTTTCTGAACAAATTGCATACCCCAGACAAGGCCTTTTCAGGGCCGTAAAAAGCCGTGTGCAGCCCATGTTTATGTCAGTCCGCGGACCAGCTTACTGACCTGTGAACAGTACTTGTAGCACGTTTTCTCTCCAATAAGAAAGTAAGCTTCCACCACAGCATTCAATGCGGCATTTCTCACTCCGTTATCTCTGTCGCCTATCTGAGCAGCGATGGCCGCCAGAGCCTTGGGAGGGGTGGGTTGGCACACGTTCATACCGTACACTTGGATCAGAGAACCAAGCTCTTCAAGGCATTCTTCAAAAACAAATTAACACAATAAAATAAAACACAAACCATTTAAGGAGACCGCAACTTGATTGTGCTGCTTACAATAATACAAGCTCAGGTAAACTACGAGTAGTCCCTCTTTCGCTTAGTCCGTCGTGCGTGACGCGAAAGAAATTCGCGAGAAAAAATTGACCGCACGAAATCCTGGGGGGCTAGGAGCCTCCAGGATTTCGCGCGGCCATTTTTTTCTCGCGGTTTTCTTTCGCGTCACGCACGAGGGACTAAGCGAAAGAGGGACTACTCGTAGTCTAAAGCTCAGGAAGATATCAAACCTTAAATGCCATAAATTACAACTCTTGAATTCGTTCCATTATTCTCTGCAAAATAAGATCTATAAAAAAACTACAACAAATAGCAAAGACGGAACTTACCCATTCTTGTCTTGGAGTTCTTGGACGTGATACCCTCCATGACATAGTTAAACAGTTTACTCGCAGGGTAAATCTTTGTGAGCAGTTTAAACAGATTACGAATCATCTTTCTCACAACATCCTTTGGATCGCCAACCTTTTAACGAAAATAACCACTGTATTAACAGCGAGTTCATAGAAAATGTCTTGAAAGTACTGTTTGATTCTACCTTACAATTTCCATACAAGTTAATATAAGAAAATCATCTATTTGAACTGCGGAGAAAGATATGAAGGCAGAAGACATGATTTATCATTGCAGTTTTACACACAACTTGAGAAGCTGTGAAATCAATCATTTTCCATGTAACTCACCTTTTGAACAAGATAAGGAATAAAACTGGAAGCTTCAAACTCTAACATTTGATAATCAGCCTGCGCTAACATGACGAATATAGCGTCCATGAGCTCCAGACATTTGATGAGTATTGTGGTGTTGGTATCAAAGAACCGTAAGGTGACCCACTTGAGGATCAGATCTAATGACTGTATCACTTCTGTTTGGTAAGGTGCGTCTGATGGTGGTACAGCACACTGTGAACAATGTCAACAGAACATAGTCAATGATTTGAGCCCATGAGTATCAGTACAGTGGAACCAAGCCTTACGGACAACCCGTTAATATGGCCACCTCTTTATCACGGCCACCTTATTCTGGCCCCAACAAAAGCTCAGTCAGTCATTTTTGTATTCAAAGAACCCTTTTAATACGGCCAAATTTTTTTTGGCCGTTGGTGATCGGAGTAACGAGGTTCCACTGTAGTTGGTATAGTGTGATTGTCAGGCTGGTTATAGTTCTGAAAAGAACTGATGGTGACTGAAATTTGGACAACCCGAGCGGCAGTATTATCTGCAGAGTCAAGTTAAATGTGGTAGTTAGTAGGGTTAGTCGGGGATGTTAGAACTCTTGTCCGTTGAAGGTGATTGGTCAGTTTAAATAGCCACGATAGTATCGGCTACGACTCGTGTAAAGTTTGTCAACAGTGATTAGTCAGATTGATCATATTTTGCCCTCTTGTTTATATAGTTGAAATGGAATTTATCATTAAATAGTCTGCGAGACTTGAGGTAACCAAGTTTAGAACAATAAACTGTGTAAAACGCAGGCTGTGATTGCTTTAGGACAGTTTATGCGCCATGGATGTGAGAAAAACCGGGAACGAAACTTTGTCCATGGGATGAATTTTTTCTGATGGCAAGTTACGTTGTACCGTTGCAATACCTGCTGCATGGTGCTTATTCCAATAAGATGATACTTGAAGTCAGCGTGAAACAAGTTCGTGTGCAATGTCTTTCCAAAGCAGGGCCTCATCTGTTCCTTAAGCTGTTCAACAAACTCCGCTCTGGGAGCAGTGAAATTCCACTTTAACACCTGAAAAAAGGAGGAGAAAAGACTCCGGTCACGAACAGTTTCAATAAAGAGATGCCAAAGGTTTTCCCGCGGAGGACACGAGAGTTAAGCATAGAAACTACAAGGAGAATAATTCTGACCTTGAGGTCTTTTTCGTCTTTAAACCGGCCATCTTTGCCGTTGTGTCTCAAGAGAGGCGGGCCTTCAATTTCCTCATCTGCCGTGGACTTCTTGGATGACTGCAATCACAATAATAAACTTGTTTGTTGTGATAAGAAGCAAAATTCTTCAAACATATAATTCAAGAAATGTATTGAGACCAGTGAGGAGATCTTGTCTATCAGGGTTTCTCATGGGCTTGGAAAATTGTCGCAAAACATCGTGACCCCTTTACAACTTTTACACCCTCAATGAAGGATTCTTAACGTACAGTGTATTTTCTTCAGTCGACGAAGCTTTGGTTCTCTTGCCCGTCGAGATTAATTGGAAGACCCCTTTTTCTCTTTGTTTTCAATGTACAGGGAGATCTGGAAAACTTACATACATACTACATACATACTTTATTGTTACCTCCCCAATGGGGCTTTTCAGGAACAATTACTTAAGTCTTCAATTACTTAAAACTTCATCTCAACCTAATCATACTGAGTGATCGTCCAAGAGTCAAACTTCCCTCGGATACTCTACTTGCCTTCGATTCCGCCGGCTTGCTTCCGGGCTTGGTTTTCTTGTTACCAGATGATGACGTAGATGAGGCTGATGATGACGCACTTCCGCCGGATGTGGCTGATGAGTCTGCCTGAGTCTTGCTGCTGGCTGGTTTAGCAGCCGCTGGTTTGCCTGGGCCTTTTGTGGGCTCAGGGAGGGATCCTTTTGCCTTCTCTAGAATTGGCATTACACTGGATTTTGAAGCAGGCTGCAAATTATTGGGAAAAAGTGATTTATTTTACCAAGCTCTAAAACATTCTACAATCGTTGGAAAGCTCTTAAAGGAGCTCAGTCACGGTATTTTCAGTTATTTTGGCCACGTACAAAATTAACTTTAAATTGAAGGAAACCTGAAAATAATAGCTTTCTACGACAGAGAAACACCAAAGAGATCATAATAAACCATAAAGGATCAAGGATGGTTGAGGATGGAGAAGATTGACACGGATTACAAACGACGAACTTGAAAAAAGTTAGGCTAGACTTTTCAAGATGCTTCAGTTTTGCAGAACAGTATTCGAGAAATGACGGAGACCGATTAGGAAGTGAGAATGAAAGTAATGAATGGATTACGACATGGACACTCAAACATGAAAATGTGCAACAGGTACTTGTAGTAGGTCAATAATCATCCAAACAGCTGTGAACAAGTCGCTTGGGGTAAGCAGTCCCTACTAAGACTGTCGTTGGGAATGAAGGAATGAAGCTTCCACGACCTGAGCTGGCGTACTTTTTGGAGTTTGTTTGTTGTCAGTTTTGAAGTCATGTCTCAGGCAATTGCATTTTGATTTTACGACCGATCAGATTATCTCATTATCACTAACAATCTTTCTCAAGACCTCGGACGATCACAGTAGACAAACTAAAATGAACCCTTAAGTTCAAACTATTTACTTTTAAACTTGCCCTTACAGTACAATGATAACAGGACGATTTTTAATTTTTTTTTCCAAGATACCGCGCGCACGTGTGTGTGAAAAAACGTCAACAATCATAAGAGTGATTTGAGAGAGAGAGAAAAGAAAAAATAAATAAGTTATTTACCGGCTTAGGGTTGGTCCGTAAAGTGCAAAACTGCGACCTCGGGCTTGAAAATGCTGCCCCAGGTCTGCGGCCTCGGGCAGCATTTTCAAGACCTCGGTCACAGTTTTTTACTATACGGACCTCCCAGCCGGCAAATAACATATTATCCAGAAACCTAACCTAACCTTAAGTTTATTGGCCTGTTTACACATGGTGTCCCAGCCAACATGCTGCATCATAAGAGGCACCACAGCTTGAGCTTTCTTCCTGACATCAACACTACGATCCTCTAAACAGGAATACAAAGGTGCTACTACAGCAACTAGAGTGGAAGGAAGGTTCTTTTCTACTGGTAACTTCTCCTCTAACCAGCCTAACACCTATATAATGCAAACACAAATCAGACAACGGAAACAATTTAAGATCTGCGAAGAACGTCAAGGAGCCGTTCAATAAAAGTGAGGTGGATGTTGGGCAGAATTCGTTACCTCTGTTCTTAGATTTGGATTCTCGGTGCTTAGAGCTCCAAAGATGACCTCGCCTTCAATAAATGGCGCTAATCCTATTTCTTTGTGCCAGGCATTCAGAGCGGTGATTCCAGCAGCTCTGACAGTGTTCTAGAACATAAAAATAAAGACCGAAGATATCACTTTCCACAATTTGCGTAATGACTAAACGGTTAACTACAATTGACAAACACATGAACAGTAGAAACTCTCCACAACAGTCACGCTGCGGACAGAGGAAAACGGCCGTTGTAGTGGCCGTTATGGGGAGGACAACATTTTTATTGTTAAAAAATGCTTATTGTATCATATAAATACGTAACGCAATCAAAATATATCACTACAACAGTAACTAAACAGAAACAGAGACCAAAGACAAACGGTACGGATCAAGTTTTGTGCCCTTTTACAGTGAAAAATGGGGTTTCCTTAGTCGTTGGTTAACTGGCCGTTGTAGAGAGGTTATTTTGGCAGTTTGGGAAGCGTTTTAGTGAATGTATGGACCATCCGCCGCGACATAATAAAGTAGCCGTTGCGGATAGGTGGCCGTTAGTGGAGATTTGACTGTATTGTTAACGCTTACCTTGGCATCTGCTAATGTACTGAATATTCCTGCACCTAGAGTCTTCAGGTGCCTGTTAATTTGTGGACCCATAGCAGTTGCTAATGTTGTGCAGATATTCAGTGTTATGGTCACCTAACAAAAACGAAAACACAGTAATTGCCGTTAAGATCTTGTTGCCATCTCGCGACTAAACCACTGCATTCAACACTCACCAGATTTTTGTTGGAGTCGCCCAAACGAGCCTTCAAAGCTGGGGGCAGTTCTCCTAGCTCAGGAGTGATAAACTTTGCAGCAGATAGTATATCTATCAACTAGAGCAGAAGATCACAACATTAGAAATATAATATTTACTGCTGAAATAATCCAGAGTTGTTCCAACTTGTTACCTTTTGAAGGGCCTCGCCTCTGACTTTCCAATTCTTGTCTCCAAGCTCTGTAATCAGTGCTGGCTTTATCTGATCACTAAAACAAACATTTTGCACTTAACAGGATGCATTATGATCTGATGTATTCCTTTGAAACGTTTCTATGCTTTTGTATATGTGTCCAAAAATTTGCGTGAGAAAAAATTTGAACAAACTTCAACCTAAACTTTATACTGCAAAAAGATCTAGTAATCAAGATCTTACTCCTTTTAAAAATTCCGTCAAACTAAAGGAAATTGGTGTAAGACGTATTCAATAATTTACCTTATATCATTCCTAGGAACAAGATCGGCTAAATTGACAGTTGGTGCAACAGCTTCCTCTCCTTCCCCCCCACCATCTTCTCCATCCTCCCCTCCCTCTTCATCATCAGCTCCCTTAGGAGACAGGCCTAGCGTGGGCGCTGGAGGTTTCTCATCCTTCATCTGTGAAAGAAGATTATGTGTTATAACAAGCGAGCGTATCTGAATTAGACTAAACCTACAACAAATTGGTTATTTCTGAGTTGCCTTTTACCTCTGTGTCAAAACAACTCTTCATGATAAAATATTCATATGAAAATGTATTCCTCCTACAGGTTCATTGTCGTGCCAATCAAACTCATTTTCACATGAAAGGTTGTGCCAGAGGACTTGTTTTGAAACAGACGCACATGGTAACATGGAAATGGCGTATTAATAAACAACTGTACCTTTTCAAACTCTGCGTCAATTTGCTGCAAGAGAGCTGGCTTCTCTTCCTCAAAGAACATCCTAAGACTGGCTCCCACATACATGTGCAGCGTACCAAGCAATGAGATGGCAGCAGTGCGGACAGCCTGAAAACATTTTGTACAACAACGTGTGTAAGAATTCATCCTTCTACCAACACACTCACCAATGTTTATACTCTGTTCAAACATCGCTGTGAACAGACTACCATGTTTACTGCATCTCACAAGTATCTACATGACTTATGTTAAATATTGTAAAATTTAGATTCATCTATTAAACCATAAAAAAAATTTAGCCCACAGAAACCAAAACTCTGATATTGGCTGAGTGACAGACAGACTGACGGACAGACAGAAGGATGGACTGACTCACTGACAAAGGCAGGCAGGCAGACAGACAGAAATATATAATTTATCTGGTCTCTCAACAGTTTACTTACTGGGTTTGTATTTGTCAACGCTTCCTTGATGTAGCTGATGTGTGGCTTGAGGTCAATTCTTTAATAAAACAATGAAGGAATAATTAAAACCAATCACAAGTTAGTAGCCACATACATGCAACTAAAAACAATGTCAATAACAATGTAATTGTACATTACTGTGAATGAACGTTTTTGACTATGAATGGTTTATACTTTAACTTACTTGAAACCAAATGCTTTGACTGCGTCAGAGAGCCAGTTAAGAGATTCTGCCAGAACTTTGGGGTTCTTCTGTGAGCCAGCATGTTTTGAAACCTATAATAACACAATAATTGCAAAATTCAGTTTGAAAACTCAAAATAACAAACCATTGAACTAAAATCACTACGTACCAATCATTGATTTCAAGATGTCATTGCTGCATCACCACAAAAATAAATACATGAAGCATTCATAATCATGTAAACTAAAAGTCAGATGAATTACTTGCTCACCTTCAAGCTTATGTAGTTAAGAGATATCACCACAGCAAATGTAGTGAGTGTTTCTTTGCTCACATCCTTCAACTGTGGAATAAAATATATGTCTAGTAAAAATGGGGAAAATTTTCAGCAAACTGACATAGAGCCACTAGAAGAGGTTATTGTGAAAACAGCATACTGCAAACAGTAGAACCAAATTAATGTAGCTTCTTGGGTCACCTTTATATCTCCAATCTTGTCCACCAACCCATCAAGAGCATAAAAAGCACTGCGTTTAGAAAACGTCTTGATGTTCTGTGCTATATACTGACACAGAGCAAACTTCGCCTTCAGAACCTGTAAGTACATGCAAAATAAATGGGAAACATTGTCTGTCACTGGGCATAGCAAATTGATTACAACAAAAACAACAATGACAGTATTTATAGCTCTGCTGTACTCTTCAGCAACAAGGAGTAATTGCTTAGGCTATTCCCTCTAAATGCAATATAAGTCCATCAAAGGTTACTCCCTGGCAGCAATTACAGTGGAATCCTGATTTCAACAAAGTGAATGAAAACATGTTTTAGTTAAAATTTACCTGGAAGTTCGTATCTTTCCAGCCAGGTTTCTTGGCAAGAACTCTGATCAGGACTTGAGATGGAGTAGTTTTTGGATCCATACCCTTCACAAGCTGCCATTAAAACACAACAAAATATACATCAACATACAAGACATGTAACTGAAGTGTGAACACATTATTTTTTTTAGTAAAATGCTCTTAAATACACTGACACTCAGTCAACCCTTGATTGGAGCAAAACTGTTTCTTCAGTTAACAACATATTGGAATGCCACTGGGCACAGTGCTCAATGTGAACATGGCTCCACCCACTCCATATTACGAAGGTTACATTCACTCAGCCATCAAACTTAATAGCAGTATGCAAACATTACCTCAGTAACAGCTTCTATACCAGCTAGTCTCTCCTTCCAGTTGGCATGCACAAGCTGGTTTAATATAGCTTCAGAGATCATCTCTGCCGCTTTTGCGTCGACATCTTCTGGCTGAACAGAATTGGATAACAATGTAGTTTTGAGTGACTAAAAAAATGAATTCAACCTTGTGCATTTAAAACATTAGCCTAAATTGAAATTGATTCGGAAACAGATTGCTTCATAATAAAAATTGTTTCCACTCTATAAATAATCTCTGAATACTTTTAGACAATTTCTTTTGACTGATATTTTATCAGGGGTTTCGTTAACATTTTCAGCAGGAGGGAAACTGGTTTTAACAGCCAAGCAATTTAGTTTTTGAACTTACAGTAACTTCTTTATAAGAAAACCTTCCTTTTGATGTTCAAACCAGGCAACCAAAATCATCCTAACAACCAGACAATTTGCCTGGTGCCTGGCCCCTGATAAAACCCCTGTGTTATACATGGCCAGCAAAAAATACTTTTTTCCATAAATACCCAATCAGAGGCTCGTCCTCAGGGGCCATAATCCATGACTTATTACATGACGCCCTTGACATTAGGGGTGAACTCGACCATTGCTGGTAAAAACTTACTGGCAGCACTGCTATTACGTAAGTAAAAAGACACCCATGGCACATATTTCTTACCGACATCTCTTGTTCAGTTGGTTCCTCACTATCGTAAGTAGTAGCAGAAGCCTTCTTCTTTCCTTTCACTGCTTTTCCACCACCACCTGCTGCTGGTTTCTTCTTCGGGGGCTAGAAAAACATATCAGTATTATTAGCCCAAATAAATAGACAGCTCTTTACACATTCTCAATATCTCCCAGTCAAGAGATGCCATCCTCATCCATCTTAATGTACTCACCCCTGAGCTAGAAGAAGCTGAAGCAGGTTTGGCAGAATCAGTTGCTTTACCAGCAGGTTTGGATGATTTCTGAGCTGGCTTCTTGACCGCTGCTGCCTCTTTCTTGCCACCATCCGTACTGGTTGCCCCAGCACTAGCTGGTTTAGCAGCTGCACTGCCAGGAACGGCACTCACTTCCGCCTTCTCAGCACATTCTTTGACCTATAGAACAAAACAGGTATGTTGGTAGAACAAAATACAACCAGTTGTGAAGTTTATAAATGAAGGATATTGCAGTTATCTGTAAGGTAACCCTGAATCATGGGTAAATTCCTCTAATTCTGTATCAAGTTTTTGGTAGTGGTTTCAATAAACAGCCTTTTTACTGTCACATGTAAATCATTGAGTAAGAGGAATACTTACACGTAAGTTAAATATTAAAACAATGTTTACAAGCAAACGCTTATGACAGAAGTATCTTTCTGTGAGGAAGCTATGCTGTACAATGTAGTTCAGATACCGGGAGAAATGCCAGGTGAAAAGGTCGGGGATGCTCACTATCATCATCGCTTAGGAATGTAAATCATCCAGATTTTTTAATGCTGAAACCACGCCCAGATTGGTTTCCCCAGAACTCCCCAGCTTCAGACACCAGTTTTAGCTGATTAAAACAGCTGTTGACTACTTCAACAAAACAATAAATTGCTTACAACAGAAAAAAGTTCCACAATATAGCCCAAGCAGTAACAAATCCTACTATATAACACCATACATAGCAATGACTGTTTTTAGAGCATGAGGGTAAATAACTATTTTTATAACAACAAAGCATGCCAGTCACCTTGTCCATCTTGATTTTATCAAGTTGTTCAATGTATGGGTTTAAAGGTCTCTCTCCCATAACCTTCAGCAATGTACCTAATGCCTCTGCCGTTGCATCTCTTACAGGACCTGAAGTATCATCCATCCTCTACAACATAATAACTCATTTTCAATAGAGAGCTTTAGATTGGACCATGAGTATGAGATTGAGTACAAGTACGATTTTCGATTTTCTAATCAGTGACATTTCCAGAGCTCTAGTTCTTCATGCTGGTTTTAGGTATAAGATGGGTATGTGTTGTGATAATGTGAAGCCTGAAAACTAGAATTGAAAAGTCGTTCTACTCGTACTTGATCTCGTACTCACACTCAAATCTAACGTCCCCTAATATTGATTTCTGCCATGACATTTCATGTTGATGCTTTATCTTACAAGTGCAATCTCAAAAATATTAATTCTTTTAAACTGTTCCTATACATTTCTTTTGAGATACGTTTTGAAAACTTGGTGTTAAACTAAAAGTATTTCCTGTTTTAATCAACTATTTGAAAATTTTTGTCTAGTCATTTGTACACTTGTTAAAGACATTGATGATAATGTACACGCATCCAGAGAAATTAGCCTGTGAACATAGACTGACGTGTTTCCGGCTGTCGCTTGTCTCCACCGTGAAATAAGAGCCAAAAAAACCGTGATGCTCTTGCAGGCTATAAAGAGAAATTAGATTTGGACAACTGTCAGCGTTAAAAGATCCCAACAGCCTTTACAGGTACTGCAGTCACGAAATTGAAAGACGCCTGAACGAGCCTAATGGTGTACCTTTTCTTTACTATTCAAAACTGTTGATCAAATCAGCTGGCCAGTTTTAAATTTTACTAGTCACTGGTCTGTCTGTGAATGTGCTATTGTGACAACTGTTTATATGTATCAATCTACAATTAATGTGGTTAAACATTAAGAATTCATTTTATAAGCTCTTACCTTCAGAAGACTGCTACAAACTGGCTTCAGGAAAGTCTTGGGCAGTGCCGCTGGTGTGCTCTTGCTGAAGCAACGAACCAGAAATCGGATAGTTTCCTCCTTGACAGAAGGATTTTTGCTTTCAAGAACTGCTAAAAGATCTTCTTGCATTGCAGACAGGCTTGTCTAATTTGGAAAACAACAACAGTGTAAGTTACAATGCAGGTTGTACAACTATACGACTGAGAAAAGTTCAAAATCTGACAATGGAAACTATTAGACTTTCTTACAGTGAGGAAAACAGCATCAACAGCCTCTCNAAGGTCTCTCACCCATAACCTTCAGCAATGTACCTAATGCTTCTGCCGTTGCATCTCTTACAGGACCTGAAGTATCATCCATCCTCTACAACATAATAACTCATTTTCAATAGAGAGCTTAGAATTGGACTATGAGTACAAGATTGAGTAAGAGTACAATTTTCGATTTTCTAATCAGTGACATTTCCAGAGCTCTAGTTCTTTATGCTGGTTTTAGGTATAAGATGGGTATGTGTTGTGATAATGTGAAGTCTGAAAACCAGAATTGAAAAGTCGTTCTCGTACTCGATCTCATACTCATACTCAAATCTAAAGTCCCCTAATATTGATTTCTGCCATGCCATTTCATGTTGATACTTTATCTTACAAGTGTAGTCTCAAAAATATTAACTCTTGTAAACTGTTCCTATACATTTCTTTTGAGATGAGTTTTGAAAACTTGGTGTTACACTAGAAGTATTTCCTGTTATAATCAACTATTTGAAAATTTTTGTCTAGTCATTTGTAGACTTGTTAAAGGCATTGATGGTAACGTAAATTAGCCTGCGAACATAGACTGACGTGTTTCCGGCTTTTGCTTGTCTTCACTGTGAAACAAGAGCCAAAAAAAATGATGCTCTTTCAGGCTATAAAGAGAAATTAGATTTGGACAACTGTCAGGAGTTTAAAGATCCCAACAGCCCTTACAGGTACTCCAGTCACAAGATTGAAAGATGCCTGAACGAGTTCAATGGTGGACCTTATCTTTACTATTCAAAACTGTTGATCAAATCAGTTGGCCAGTTTTAAATTTTACTAGTCACTGGTCTGTCTGTGAATGTGCTATTCCGGCAACTGTTTATATGTATCAATCTACAATTAACATTGTTAAACATTAAGAATTCATTCTATAAGCTCTTACCTTCAGAAGACTGCTACAAACTGGCTTCAGGAAAGTCTTGGGCAGTGCCGCTGGTGTGCTCTTGCTGAAGCAACGAACCAGAAATCGGATAGTTTCCTCCTTGACAGAAGGATTTTTGCTTTCAAGAATTGCTAAAAGATCTTCTTGCATTGCAGACAGGTTTGTCTAATTTGGAAAACAACAACAGTGTAAGTTACAATGCAGGTTGTACAACTATACTACTGAGAGAAAAGCTCAAAATCTGACAATGGAAACTCTTAGACTTTCTTACAGTGAGGAAAACAGCATCAACAGCCTCTCTTAAAGCAGCCACCACATTTGTTTTCTTTTCTTTAAATTTCTCCAAGAGTGGAGTTATTATCATGGAGGAATACTGTGTGAACTTCTTGCGCAGACCTGTCGCTAACTGACCAGTGCACTTGGCTGCTAGAGCCACAACTATAACATTTGCATCCTTGGTAATGATCTGAATAAAAAATGACCAGAAGAAATGAGGAGGGCCTTTATTACAAGACTTTTACATAAAACAGCTTCAACCACATAGCATGAATATTGATGAACAAGGAGCTATTTCAGACAAAGGTGAAAATAAACAGAACTGATTTTCAAGACTTAACAACTTCCACTGGGAGTTGTTGAGTTTTGTTTAAGTTTGTCAAGTTCTTCAAGTTTTTCAAGTTAACATTACAAGGTAGTCCTTTGTCAAGAGCATACATGTCAGTATTTCTGGTTAACTCTCAACACAGTCAAACATTTCAATCCTTGTTCTTGTGCTTGGATTTTGTGTCATTTGTATGGCTCTTATGACCTCTTGTACTTTTACTTATATATGCTTGCAACTCTTATGAAATGCAGGCCTCAGTACATACTTTCTTCAAGGCACCCAGTAGTTCTCCGTACTGTCCTCCTTCCAGTTTAGGATTTGACACAAGTTTTTCAAGTGCTTCTAATGCTTCCTTTCTTATTTGCCATTTCTTGTTCTCCTGTATATTTCAATAACATATAAAGTGAGTAAAATTCCACAGTAACTAAATCTGCATAAAATCCAAAGAATAGAAAGATGACCAAATAGTTCAGTCTACTGTTAGTTTTATAATATATTTTCAAATTGGAGACTCTAATTTTCTAACTTCTTTAGAACAAAATATGATTTTCCTCTTTGATAATAATTACACTCTGCATACTGGCAATGAAATAAGGGAGATTGATATTCACTGGCTGAAAAAGAGTTTAAAAACCAAACTGAAATTTCACTGAAAACTAAAGACTCAAGGAAGCTTTGGTGGTGCTAGGACCAGAAAAGCTAGTTGGACTTGAGCCAGCTTTAGTGTTGTCTTAGAACTTTAGAGCTCTAAGCCCCAGCATTGTCTATAAACACTTTAATTAGTTTCCACGTATTCTGTGATTATTAGTTCTGATAGCTTTCTATTAAAATATAAGTTAGTAACCCCAACCTTTATTCAAACATATCTTATCACTGTCAGTGATCAATTATCTACTGGTACTGACCAAATTTTCATAGAAGTCCTTGGGAAGTTTTGAAAGAATCTCAACTGCCTCTATTAGTGCATATGGATCAATAGCTTCCTGGTCAGGGACAGCCACTCCACCTACAAAAAGTAATGCAGGTGACTTCAAAACAATGCTCCAAACCCAGTCAACTTGTAAAATCCAACAAGGATGCATGACCACTAGAACCTGAACCAGGCTTAGCTTTACGCTAGGATGTCTAGGTGTCCCGTGTACACTCACTTTTTCTTTCAATTTTCACATGTTGCTTTACAAGTTCATTTGAGCAGACCCTATAGTACATTTTGGATGCCCACTCTTTTAAATCCTGGCTAAAAGCCTGACCTGAGCTAAGGCACTGAGCCTATCATGGAGTCAGTTAGAGAGGGTGGGGTAATACCAGGAAGACCAAAAAAAGGATTCCGTAGGACCTGTGATCCGTCAAAGATAAAATACATGCTAAATGTATAGAGGCATGAACATGTTATGTGTAAGAAAGTATGCGAAACAAAATATAAAGGAAACCAACAAGCTTCATTTCAATTATTGTTCGTACAAAAACCACAGAACCTCCATCAGTTGCTGATTCATCATCTCCATCAGTAGCGGCAGGTGCAACAGCTGCATGCTCTGCCATCTTCTGCTGTTGACTTCGGGTGAATCTGGTAGGGGCAGGCGGGGCCGGTGGAAGCTTCCCCCATTCTTCTTCCAGCTCCTTTAACTGTAAAACATTGAGAAAGCTTTACATCAGACAAAAGATGAGAAAAATAACCAGTGATGGGGTGATAGAACACAGTGT